ATGAACTCCTTAAATTTTATGGTCATTTCTTGATATAAAAAATTGATTTGTTAATTTAGGAAAAATCTTTTTTGATTTAATACTGAATGGATTGTATTTCATCTTCTTATGAATCTCTTTGTATTTCTTGTTCACCATCATCATTTGTATATAATCCTCTTCTTTATTAATATATCTACATACATTCAGTATATTTTCGATATTTAATTTCCCTTTATTGTCTTTATATTTTGTAGTGGTGTTTCCCATTTTCTTCTTCTATTTTATTTTCAAGATGAATAACAATTAATTTCAATTATAATTACTTGTTATAATAGAGTGTATCCCAAATATAATTGATGTGCTGTTTGACACATACAAATACCAAATTCCTCCTTCTCCTCTCATTCCCATCACAATAACACTCACAATATTTCCAATGTATGTTATCATCCACACTGGTATATTCAATCTTGCCATCATCTTATTAACTCTCTCTTTATTTTTCAAATACATCATTATGATAATCATTGTACTTATCAAATAAGTAATTCCTCCACTTTCACTCTTCCAATATGAAATCATTCCATTCATTAATCCACTAAAGATAATATAAATCATTTTATACTTCTCTCCATTCTTCTTAATCCTCTCAACTACCTCTTTACTTGTTTTTGGAATAACAATCACACTACATTTCAGTGTTTTGTACTCCTTTTTTATTTCTTCAATCATTCTGTTCTTTTCAAGTTCTTTTCCTTTTCTTCAAACACAACCAATTTGTATGAAGTGATGTATTTTATTATTGTTGATGTTGAAGTGGAATTGATTAATGAATTGTGTAAAAACACAAACAACTAATTAATAAATGAGAAGATAATGAATATCATGTTATTTTAATGTTAAAAAGAAAGAAAAGAAATAAAAAGACAATAAAAATGATGAAGATTAATGATATATGAAAAGAAGATGATGAAAAGAAAGAGAATAAATGAAGTAGTCAGAAATAAGAAATATAAACATTGTTATGAATGTGATGATAAATAAATAATGTATGAAGTGATATTTGTTTTCAATAAGAATAAGAAATGATTAATGATTAATAAAATTGAGATGTGGTTTATTACAAAATATGAAATGAATGATAATATGAGAAAGAAAATGATGATGACCATCAATTAACACACAAAATAAAATGAAAATTATTTGTATTAACATTATCAATTAAATAACCATTTAATTTATAAAATGTTTATAAATTATTTTAAATCATCTCTTATGATTTCATTGTTTATTCTTGTTATTAACACATTAATCTCTTCTATTTCTTTGAACTATCAATTTCTTATTTCATTTATTTTTCTTTATCATAATTGATTGTTTCAATAAAAATTGAATTATTGAATGAAATTAAAACCACCATTAATTTAATTCTTATTTAATAGGAACTTACACATTACATTTGGTTGTTTATGATGGATGTAAGTCATCTCATTCAAGTAGATGTATTTCAATTTATTTCCATCATAAACAACAACCATTGTTCTCAATCTTTTATCAGAAGAAATGAACCATTTCAAAGAGAAACAAAACACAAGAAGAAAAGAAATTAATAGAGTTAGAAAGGATTCCAACAAGAAATAATTAAAGTATCAAGAAGGAGTGGAAAAGTATTTGAAAAGAGAAAATAAAGAAAGAAATGTTATTGTATTTTAGAAAATGACAAATTAATTATAATAAAATAGTACTATTATTTAATTTAATCTTTTTTGTTTTTATTTTTTGTTTTTTATAAATCTATTTATAAATAATAAATTAAGTTCGACGATAATTAATTAATAGTTCATTTATTTTTAAGTTTTAATTATAAAAAGATAAAACAAAAATAAGAAAAAGAAAATGTTATTATTTTAATTAAATTTATTCTATTTTTATTTATTTTGTTATTTATATTTTGTTATTTAAATTAAAATTAAATTAATTTTGAAATTAACTTGAAATTAAATAGAGAAATGTAAAGAGAATAAATCAAAAGAGAGAATGAATAAATATAATCATAATGAAATGAAAGAGTATTATAAATGATAAAATGAATGAAATAATATTTATGTTAATTTATTTATTGATTATCATTTTATGATAATGATATTAATATCATTTCATTGATTGATAAATGAAATGTTCATATTCATTTATTGTTTTTATTTTATATTCTTTTTAGTTTTATATTTCAAATAAATAATAATGAATAAAAATCATTTCATTTCAATTATAATGATTCTTTTTGGTGTGAAACGTTCTGGATATTGTGTTCCACAAAGTGTACTTGATGTTCCTTTATATGAAAATGAAATTTGTTTACAAGATGATTTTGTTTTATTGTTTTCTTTATAAACAAAAATATCACCTAATCCAAATCCAAACAAATAATCATCTGATTGTTTACCTACATAAAATGCATCTTGTGGTTGTTTAATATCAAATTTATTCATTCCTTCTATTCTTCCTTTTGATTTTAATGAAAATAAAAATGATTTTGGATCATTTATATAATCATCAACTTTATCAATTTTAGAATTAACATATCCTCCAAATTTATTTCCATCTGAATCTTCAATAATAATTATTATATGTTCTTTATTTATTATTCTTTGTTCAAATACTGATGTATTCTTATTCCAATCATCAA